ATTAGTAAATCAAACTCCTGCAATATCCAGCTGTGCCTCCCACATTTACATACAGATAGAATGGGTATATGTTTTTAATATGTATGCCAGCCGTACTTTTACCACAGCTGAAGCGCACGCTACAAAGGAGGAGGAGAATGGGAATGGAATCAGCATGAGATAATAAAGTGGCCTAGATAAAGTATTAGCCAGCGATTGATCTCAAACAGGGGATGTTGCTTCTCTCTGACCTGATTACTTACTATGCATAGATTCCATTAAATAGAGCTTAGAATGGAAAGCTTGGGGAAAACACCATAAATACAGGCGCATCCCCAGCCTGGATGCTTCCCTGGACTCTGGGCGTGAGCTGAAACCTCGCCTGGGCCGCCACAGCACAACTCCTGAATAAGCACAGCCCCCAGAACCAGAAAAACTCTGAGTTTCTGGCAAAAAAACTGCAGGGGAAAAGGGGAAAAATGTCTTTTTGCAGGAGAATTGTTGAGATTTTGGTGTTGGAAAGGGAGGGGAGAGACAGAGGAATGTGCTGTGCAGGCTTCCCCTGTGATAATACAGGAATATATTCAATTTAATTTGCCCTCTCTGCCTTTCTCCTAAAAAGGAACAAACAGGAGAGAAAAGAGCAGCGTTTCAGAGTAAGTTTAGGATGACCACTGGTAAATTCTGAGGTTGTTGCTTTCCCTGAATGGACAATTTTCTCTTTACTGGGTGAAATTCCTTATTTCACGGCTGTGGAACCAGCTTTGATTACGTGGGTACAGAAAAACCAATGGGGATAACTTGTTTTGGGGATGGCTGCAATGGAGAAAGGGCAGTGAGTAAATAAATCATGAAAGAAATAAAGAAATAATAATAAAAGAAATAATAATAAAAGAAATAATAATAAAATAAATAATAAATAAAATAAATAATAAATAAAATAAATAATAAATAAAATAAATAATAATAAGAGAAATAATAATAATAAAATAATAAATAAAAGAAATAATAAATAAAATCAAAGCCTGAATGTGTACATTAGAGAGTTTTCTTAAGTCACTGGGTGAAAAAGTGTTAAGAATGAAATGAAATTTATCAATAAGAATTTTCCAAATATTATATATAAATGTATAAATTAAATATAAGTAATATTACAAAAAGTTAAAGTTAGTTTAGAAAGCAGAAGGCAAGATGGAGGATTTAAAATGTTGTTTCTTTTCCTTCTTTCTTCTTCATGTTCTTCTTTTAGAGGTTTTTGGGTGATAGTGAGTGACTGGACAGAAAATGCCACAGTGCAGTAAACAGGTTTTGGGTCATTGGGTCATTAAGAAAAATAATTAACATGTCTATTGTTAATTGGGTAAAAATAAGTATAAAGATAAAAGAACTGCATAGTTTGGGGTCATTTTGTGTCTTCAGAGGCCAAAGTGAGCCACAAGGGCATTTTGTACCATCAGTGAATAAAACTTGTGCAGAAAGTCTGGAGAGACCTGCCCAGTTTTGGGATAAAAATTTTTGTTTTTTGATTTAAATATTTTTGTCTGATAAACACAAGAAACAAGATCCTGAAAGGATTTGGAGTTTTGTCCTGACCCCAAACGGGATCCCCACGAGGGAGGATCCCAAAAGAGCTCAGCCCAAAGAGGTCTGAGAAATCCAGGAGTAGAGAAAAACACAGAAGAATCAAGGGAAAAAAGAAAGAAAAATGAATTGTTAGGAAAGTTACACCTTTGTTTTGCTTTCAGGCTTGAATTATCCTAAAGTGGCCCCAAAGCAGCGGGAAGGGGAGGAAGATGATGCTCTGGCTCGTGTGAAGGTGAGGATGGCTGTGTGTGACACCTCCCAGCGCTGTCTGCACTGTGCTTTTAATTAAAAACATGCTTTTAATTAAAAATAAAGCACCAAAACTCAAGGAAGGAGGTGAGATCCTGCTCTGGGTGGAGGTGACCTCGAAGATCCGGGGTTTCAGTGCTTCCCTCTGGGCATTCCTGACATCCACCAGAGTCAGGAATATGGAATTAAAAGGTGGGAAATTTCAGAATTCACGCGGTATTTGTGTTCAAGGAATGTTCTCTGCTCTGCTTGGGGATCAAATGGACTTCACAACCCTCAAGGGCTTTTCCAAATCAGTGACTCTGGGATATTCAAAGTTGGGTTTTTCTTTGGTTGTTTGTTTTTTTTTTTCCTGGCCCCGTAATTATAAAAATATATATAAAAAAATAAAAAATAGTTATAAATTATTTTTTTAAAATATAATTATTTTTATAATTATAAAAATAATTGTATTTTTTAAATGTAATTTTATGTAACTTCTGTCCATTTCTTGTGTGCATCTGTGCACACAGACTCATGGTGCTAGTGTATATATTCATATTAATTTTATAAATAAAGTCCTCCTTGACAGGACTGGGGAAAAGTAAAAATAGAAAGGCTTTGACTATATAAATATAATATAGTATATATATAAATGATACATATATATATATAAAATATATTTTATAATTATACATATTTAAATATATATATTTATAGAAATAGTATATCAGAATAATATAAATAATATAAAATAAATAGTAATAAATATTATTTATATAAAAAATAGAAATAATGTAATATAGATTATATGAATGATGTAAATGATATATAATGTAATGTAATGCAATATAATATAAATAATGTAATATATGATATAATGTAATGTAAAGTGTAATATAATAAATATAACATTAAAAATGTAATATGATAAATATAATAAATGTAATATAATTATGATATATGATATGATATGATATATGATATGATGTGATATGATGTGATATGATATGATGTGATATGATATGATATGATGTGATATGATATGATGTGATATAATATAATATAATATAATATAATATAATATAATATAATATAATATAATATAATATAATATAGTGAGCAGCTCCTGTTTTACTACTTGTTGTAAGTTCATTTCTAACAGAATAAAAAGCAGGGAGTTAAAAAAATGCAACAAATCCCTTAAAAAAGTAGGAACACTCCTTTTTTATATATTTTTTTTTTCCCAGAGGTGCCAGAATTTCCAAATAATTTCCCAAAACACCTCCTTTGGAGGGGAGCAGCACTCTGCAGGGCATGTAGTTGTAAAGATAAATCTGTGCACTTCCCTGCTACCGCAGGCACTCACCCTTTGGCCTCATTTTTATGGCTCTACACCCTGGAGTGGTGTTATTGCTCACAGCCATCCCCACGCACGCTTCTGGATCTGCAGATGTTTTATTTATAAGTGGCATCACCAAAATGTGCATTTGCAAAAGGAGAGAGGTTTTGTTTTTATTTTTTGATGAAACCCCATTCCATTGTTTTAATAGCTGAGGCAGCCAGCCGTGGCAGAATAGAGCATGAGGTAAATGTGGCTGCAGCTCCAGAACCTGCTCCAAGTTTTCTCAGATGTGACTAACTGCGAGAAATTTCCCAGCCAGCAGAAGTTAATAAAAAAAGAGAGAAAAAAAAATTAAAATAAAATAAAAAATAAAATTAATAAAAAACAAATAAAAATAAAATATATAAAATAGAATAAAATTAAATTTAAAAAATAAAATAAAATAAAATAAAATAAAATAAAATAAAATAAAATAAATAAAACAAAATAAAACAAAAAAAATAAAATAAAAAATAAAATAAATTAAAATAAATTAAAAAATAAAATAAAACAAAATAAAACAAAATAAAACAAAATAAAATAAAATAAACCAAAATAAACCAAAATAAACCAAACCAAACCAAACCAAAATAAACTAAACTAAACTAAACTAAACTAAACTAAACTAAACCAAACCAAAATAAAATAAAATAAAATAAAATAAAATAAAATAAAATAAAATAAAATAAAATAAAATAAAATAAAATAAAATAAAATAAAATAAAATAAAGAAATCAGCCTTTGGTATGAGAAACCCCCAAGTGGAGGGGCTCTGATGGACTTCAAGGTTTAATTTCAGCGAGGTATTTAAGCAGGTGCCCGACTTCAAGCGCAGATTTGGTGGAGTTAATATCCTTAAAATGAGATTCAGAGTTTAAATACTTTCCTAACCAGGATCTCAGCTGAGACTGGTCTGGATTGTGAGACACCTGCCCCTGGGCATCTTCAGAGATCAGCCTTTAACCAGAGAATTGTGCACTAGAAAAACTTCTTTATTCTCCTGGCAGCTCCCAGGGTGGAAACAAGAAATGAGAGGATGCAGCAGAGTCCTGATCCTCTTCAAATCCCTTACGATTATTCCTGGATTCCAACTGTCTTTGCACATCTCAGGCACAGCAAATAAACTTTTTTTAATAAATATTATTTTTTTTAAAATAAATTTGGATGATTTTAGAGAAGCTGTTGAGCAAACAGAGTGTAAAGGAAAGTAAGGGAACATTTAAAAATTCAAGTTATTTGACAAGAGTCAGAGAGGATTGTGAGTCTACAGAAATTGCTGGAAGTAGCAATAATTAATAAGTGAAAAAATGACAATTGTTAGCACAAGAAGTAGGCTCTGAGCTGATTCCAACCCTAAAAACCCTTCCACAGACACCAACCATTCTCTCATCCTCCTGCAGCCAATCTGATTGAATTTCACACCAACATCAGCAAAAACAGCAGCTCTTGAATTTCATTAAAATCCGTATTTTAACCACACTTTGTTCCCAATCTTCACATTTGGGAAGGTTGAGGCTGACAAAAGAGAGTGACCTACATTAAAATGTAATCCCTGGACATCCAAACTGGAAGAAAATGTGTTTCAAGCATCAAAATGGTTTTGACTGAAACTCAGTAAATGAAACTCCCAAAATCAAAAGTGAACACCAAATTCAGCATGGCAATCCCACCTCTGGTTTTGGCTGCAAATATGGAATTGCTGCAGGAGCAGGAAAAGCTTGGAGAGAAATGAACTGAAAAATGCAGGAAAAAAATATTCATTTCTAGGTAAATGACCAAAAAATAAATATCCAGTGGGAAATCCAAATGGAAGTTTTTCACTTACCATTAAATCTTCAGGTGCCGGCCTCTCCTTTGGTTGCTTCTTCATGCTGTGCCACAAAACAAAATGTTTGTATCAAAATAACTGCAGGTTTGTTTGAAATGCTGAAAAATTGAATTGTTTTACTTGAAAATTTGAAATATTGAATTGTTTTATTTGAAAATTTGAAATATTGAATTGGTTTAATTTGAAATTTTGAAATATTGAATGTTTTAATTTGAAAATTTGAAATATTGAATGGTTTAATTTGAAAATTTGAAATATTGAACTGTTCTGTTTGAAAATTTGAAATATTGAATGGTTGAATTTGAAATTTTGAAATATTGAATTGCTTTACTTGAAATTTTGGAACACTGTTCTATTTGAAACGTTGAAATATTGAGTTACTTGAAACGTTGAAATATTGAATTACTTGAAATGTTGAAATACTGAATGACTTGAAACTTTAAAATATTCAATTGTTTGAAACTTTGAAACATGGAATTGTTCTACATGAAATTTTGAAATACTGTTCTATTTGAAAAGCTGAAATATTGAACTGCATTTTCTCTCTTTTATTGCAGAGTGGAGACTTTCAGTCCCCAAAATATTATTTTTCCTCCCTCCCAACCTTCCCTAAAGGATTTTCTCTCTTTTCTACCCTTCCCTAAGGAATTTTTCCTCTCTCCCAACCTTCCTTAAAGGATTTTTCTCTCTCCCATCCTTCCCTAAGGGATTTTCTCCCACTCCCATCCTCCCCTATGGAATTTTCCCCTCTCACACCCCTCCCTAAGGAATTTTTCCTCCCTCCCAGCCTTCCCTAAAGGATTTTTCCTCCCTCCCATCCTTCCCCCTAAGGGATTTTCTCCCACTCCCATCCTTCCCTATGGGATTTTTCCCCTCTCACACTTCCCTAAAGGATTTTCTCCCATTCCCAACCTTCCTTAAAGGATTTTTCCCCCCTCCCAACCTTCCCTACAGGATTTTCTCCCACTCCCAGCCTTCCTTAAAGCATTTTTCCCCCCTCCCACCCTTCCCTAAAGGATTTTCTCTCCCTCCCATCCTTCTCTATGGGATTTTTCCCCTCTTCCTTAAAGGGTTTTCTCCCCTCCCAACCTTTCCCTATGGGATTTTCTCCCACTCCCATCCTTCCCTATGGAATTTTCCCCTCTCACACCCCTCCCTAAGGAATTTTTCCTCCCTCCCAGCCTCCCCTAAAGGATTTTCTCTCTTTTCCACCCTTCCCTAAGGGATTTTTCCCCTCTCCCAACCTTCCTTAAAGGGTTTTTCTCCCCTCCCACCCTTCCCTAAGGGATTTTTCCCCTCTCCCAGCCTTCCCTTATGGTACCTAGGGCTCCACTCTCTTTTTCCCCATGAAAGATGTGTAAACACAGAACCCCCTAAAACCCAGGAAAGGGCCCAGACAGCCAATTCCCATTTTCCTGTGGATTACAACACGAAGAATCCCCCGAAGAGGACGGGAAGGGAAACCCCACTCCAGCTCCGAAAACCCGCAATACCCTGAGGTTCCTCCCTTCATTTCCCCTTTATTTCCATCCCCTGCAGGGTGATAGTTCATTACCCAGCATTAACCTGTTTATCAGATCACGTTTCTGCTGCAAACAGCGCTGGCTTTTGCCTGCAACAGGTGCAATTAAACTCTCTTAGCTGCACAATAAGCACAGAGGTGACCACCAGGAGCTGCCTACGGAATAATTGGATCCCATCCAAACATCCAGCCTTTATGGAGGGACTGGCACAAAGTCTGGGGACGCTGCTCACTTGACATCTCTCACCGTTATTCCAAATTGATTGCTTAAATAAGATGTATTTGCTCCTAATTGGGTTTTATTTTTTTTATTTTTAGCCAAATAATTCCTCCCACCCCACCCCTCACCAAGCAGAGCTAATAAAACCCTGGATATAAAGCACCAAACCAGCCCTGCTGTAAATTGGAGATATTAAGGACACAATTTACCTTCCCCTACAAATAACTCCGAGCCCCTCAAATAATCAAGTCCCAGAAGCTGTCGGAGGCAGCAGCTCTAATCTGACAGCCCAAAGTAGCTGAGTCCCCAGGGAAAACCAGGCTATTAGCCACCATCACTTATGCTGCAGGTTGACATCTGGGGGGATTTTAACACAGGTTATCCCCTCCCTCTGCCTCCTTGCTTTATTTTTATTTTTATTTTTATTTTTATTTTTATTTTTATTTTTATTTTTATTTTTATTTTTATTTTTATTTTTGTTTTTATTTTAAATTTTATTTTTAATTTTATTTTTGTTTTCATTTTATTTTTATTTTAAATTTAATTTATCTGTATTTTATTTTATTTTGCTTTATTTTATTTTATTTTATTTTACTTTATTTTATTTATTTATTTTATTTCATTTAATTTCTTTTTTTTTACTTTATTTTGTTTTACTTTAATTTATTTATTTTATCATATTTTATTTAATTTCATTTAATTTCATTTTACTTTTTTATTTTATTTCATTTTATTTTACTTTATTTTACTTTATTTTACTTTATTTTTATTTTATTTATTTTATTTTATTTTATTTTATTTTATTTTATTTTATTTTATTTTATTTTATTTTATTTTATTTTATTTTATTTTATTTTATTTTTATTTTCTTTTATTTATTTTACTTTATTTTATTTGACTTTATTTTATGTTATTTATTTTACTTTATTTTACTTTTTTTTTATTTTACTTCATTTCATTTCAATTTCAATTTTAATTTCATTTTTTAGTTTGGGACGGGTCTCATCAACATTTTGGGGAGGATAAAGGAGCTGGAGCTCCACTCCCAAGGTTGTTCTGCAGAATCCTCCAGATCCCCTTGGTCCTCGTAAGCCAAAACCACTGAAAACCGAGGCCTCTGTTACACAAACTTTAATTATTCAGTTACTTTAATTAACCGCTCATCAGCCGCTTGTTGTGTCTGCTTTTATTCCAGGCCTCACAGATCCTTTCTGCTGCCTCAAAATTCAGTTTTTTGGGTCACTTTTTACCCCAAAACGTGCAAAGCCCGACCTCTGTGGGGTTGAGATCTTGGGGGAGGATGAAGAAAAACCCTGGAAAACCAGGAAAAACCTCTGGATAAAGTCACACCCCAAAAATTCATCATTTTGTGCATAAACACCTCCCCTTTTCAAATTATTTCTGGATTTTGGGGGGTTTGGGGCAGTTAAAATGTGATTTTTCCCTTTGCTTTGCTGCTTTAGGATCTGTTACCCTCCAGGTTTGCATCCTCTGCTCACTCAAGAATTGTTTATTCCACAACCTCCTCCTCTCCCCAATTCTCCTTTCATTTAAAAGGTTCCCAATGAATTATTCCGTTTTAAGGACAGCAAATACACCCAGCAATGTGATTTAAACCACAAAAATTACTGAGAAGCCAACAAATTCATCCAGGCCTTCCTAAACACTGAGGCAATTTTATATGAAATATTTAGGAGAGGGGGAAAAAACCCCACAAAACAACCTAAATCTTAAATTTTAAATCATAATTTTTAAATCTTACATTTTAATTTTCAACTTTTAAATCTTAATTTTTAACTTTTAAATCATAAATTTTGAATCTTAATTTTAAACTTTTGAATCTTAACTTTTAAATCTTAATTTTTAACTTTTAAATCTTAATTTTTAACTTTTAAATCTTAACTTTTAAATCTTAATTTTTAACTTTTAAATAATAAATTTTCAATCCTAATTTTTAATTTTTAACTTTTAAATTTTAACTTTTGAATTTTAAATCTTAAATTTTAAATCTTAATTTTTAAATTTTGAATCTTAACCTTTAAATTTTAAATCTCTAATTTTAAATTCTAATTTTTAAATTTTAGATATTAAATCTCAAATATTAAATCTTAGATTTTAAATCTTAATTTTTAACTTTGAAATCATAAATTTTAAATCTTAAATTTTACATCTTCATTTTTAACTTTGAATTTTTAGCTTTTAACTTTTAAAATCTTCAATTTTAAATCTGAATTTTTAAATTTCTAATTTGAACTTTTAACCACACCTGAGTTTGGCAGACGAATTCTCCAAGGCTCTCACACTCAGGGCGAGGTTTATTAAAACCCACCCCCAAATAAATAAAACCCTGTAAGCACTTTTAGGACCCTTTGTGTAAATAATTTTTACATCATTTAAGCAATTTGCTCAGCTTTTTTTTTTTGCTGCCCCATGTGCCCCAAGCCCCCCGGGAAGGGATGAAGGGATGCAGGGGAGGTTTTGGGGAGCTGGGAGTTGATGATGGATCATTTCCATCCAGCCCATGGATGTGTGCAAAGCTCACCATTGAGTGATGAAGTGCACAAATGGCTCCGAGAATTCTCCTGCTGGAAGCACCGGCGATTCCTGGGATTGCAGCGAGACAAGGAGCGCGGTCAGCACCAGGGAAATGCAATTTTTTGGGTTCTTTTCTTTGATTATTATTTAATTTATTTTATTTTTTTTTAGCAAAATAACAGCAAAACAAAACACACACAAAAAAAACCCCCAAACCCAACCCAACCCCCTCCTCACCAGGAATAATAACCCCAAAATCTCCTTTTTCACACGCATTTGAGACAGAAAGGTACAAATTCTTTGGAGGATGTGTTATAAAACACTGAATTTCAACTAATGAGTATTACACAATGGGTAAAAACATGTGGAAAGACACTGAGGGGAGGTGAAAAAAGGACAATGATAGCCACAGGGTAAAAAGGAAGGTAGGGAAAGTGTAAATGAGAAATTAATGATTATTTAAGTAACACACAAATGGTCTTGTAATTAACAAAGAGCTGTGAAATTATTCTTGTGTTGACCTTTGTTTCTTTCACTGCAATCGCTATTTATTTACACTCATGTTTATTTACACTTATTCATTTTCCAGGCTGTCCTCATATGCTGCCTGTTCACGATTTAAAAGGCAAAAAAAAGAATTTTTTAAAAGCCAAAAAAAAATTAAAAAAATAAATAAGGAGCAAAATAAAAGCAGGATTTACCAGGCTAGTGATAGAAAACAACCAGCCAGTATTTATGGGAGAAAAATTAAAAAAAAAAAGGGGGAAAAAAGCACAGGAGGGGAAAAAAAAATCAAGATTAGGAAGAGGGAACAAACAACATCAGCATTTGCAAAGAAGGGCTTTACGAATTTAGGAGTTTTTCCAGGAATGACGGAGAGCTCCACTGTGTTTATGGTGTAACAGCTCAGGATGTAATGAAATTACACTGCAGAGTACTTTAACAGTGTCATCTCATTAGACCTACAGTTGGAACAAGAGAGCCACATAAAACACGCAGCTGCAAATGACTCCATTCTCATCTATTCTCATTTGCTATTAAAAATACCTTTCGGCGTCTTTTTTTTCCTCCCTGACATCCCTCCACAAAGTACCCTGCAAAGTATGATACATGCACCTATTTAAATTAACAAAGGAATGACTTATTTTAATCTCACTGTGCTTTGGAGTGCTTTGGCCATTTGGATGAGCAATATATCATTACATACAACCTTCCAGCGCTGCAGGCAAGAAACTCGGAGCGTGCAGCATTTGGTGGGAGCCAAACAATTTCTCTAGCACACAACTGTGTCAAATGCATGCATGTATTCATTATGGGGAACGGGGAAATAGCTTTGATGTAGTGGAAAAAAGAAGATGATAAAAGCACCTCTGCAATGTGTGTGCCATTATCAATGGTGGCAGATAGACACGACTGCAGAGCCTCCTGTGTGATTAGTAAATATACATATAATTGCTGTGGCCAATTATCAGAAAAATGAGATCGGTAATTACAAGAGAGAAAATTAACTAGAACTCTTATTAAGGCTTTGTTTCCAATCCCAACAATTGGAAACTGCTGGAAAATACAATTAAATCAAAAGTAGCTCAAGAGTAAAAGGAGAAGCCAAAATTGCTCGACGATTTTCAAAGACTTCTATTAAATACAAGGAGTTTTTCACAGAACGTGGCCAAATTCTCTTTGAACTCGGGCAGGGCGAGGGAGAGGTTATTGTTTCCAAACTTAGAAATGACAGCAATCCAGGGGAGCTTTCTGCTGGAGAGCAGAGGGAACACAAGGAAATCGGCAGCACAATTAAACTTTCTCCACTTCAAAGCTCTGCCCGTGAAAATTATCTGGATTAACAGAGAAATCCGAGGGAAACGCCAGCCTTGCTCCGACAGAGCAGGATTTGCCTCTCCCAGTGCTTCCCTCTTGACCAACAGAACTTCCCTGGACTTCCCCCTGAAGCCACTGGGATGGACACGAAAGGACAGGCTGGAAATGATCTGGACACAGAATCCATGGGATGGACACAAAAGGGACAGGCTGGAAATGATCTGGACACAGAATCCATGGGAGACACTGGGATGAATCCATGGGGGACATTGGGATGGACCCAGAAGGGACAGGCAAGAAATGATCCAGGTACAGAATCCACCAGGATGAAATGCTCCAAGCACAGAATCCATGGGATGGACACAAAAGTGACAGGCTGGAAATGATCTGGGCACAGAATCCATGGGATGGACACTGGGATGGATCCATGGGGGACACTGGGATGGACACAAAAAGGACAGGCAGGAAATGATCCAGACATAGAATCCATGGGGGACACTGGAATGAATCCCAGGAGACTGGGATGGATCCATGGGGGACACAGGGATGGACCCAGAGGGGACACAGGGATGGATCCATGGGGGACCCTGGGATGAATCCATGGGGGACACAGGGATGGACCCAGAGGGGACAGGGAGGAAATTCTCCGGGCACAGAACCCACAGGACAGCGCTCCCCGGGGAGCTGGCAGTGCCCAGCAATCCTCCCCTGCTGTTTGTTTTAACTCAAATGCCAGCGAGGAGCTTTTCCCAAGCCAGACGCGCCTCCAGGGGCTGCAGGATGGGATATCCAGCACTTCACACTCATTTGGGAGGTGATAATTTCTGCATTCACAGGAGATGACCGACCCATCATGGAGAGAAAGCTCATTATGAGAGGGGAGGAGAAGCTCCCACTCTGGTTATTCCAAACCCTCTGGGCTCATCCAGGCAAGGGCAGAAGTTGTTCCAACATCAGCAGAAAAACCTGGTCCTGCAGCACAGCCAGGGCACGAGGGGCTCCTGCCTATGAAAATTCCAACTGGATGGAAGTAAATGTTAAATCCTGGTTTTCTTCCCGTTTTTTGGGCGTATTTTTCTGTTTAATTCAGGTATTTCACCTGCTGGCCATGCCTGGGCTGGTTTGTGCTGAGGAGCTGGGGAAGAGATTTTGTGTGGAAGGGTGGAGATGAACACACCCGGGATCTCAGGGTGGAAAGGAGATGAATTCCTGAGGAATCCCATGGACACAGATTTATCAGAGATCTGCCTGAAAAATGCAAAACCTTCCAGGAGGCTCAGGGAAATCGAGGCTGAATCTGGAGGAGACCTTCCTCCAAAGCAGGCTGCTCAAGTGCAGGATGTGCAGACAAAGCTCATTTTGTACCCTGAGGATTCCCAGATGTGGTCTGACACTCCAAGAGAGGGGAACGCGGGGAAATAAAGCAAAGCTACACATCTGTACCCAGTCTGAGCGACGCGGTGTGGTCACATCCACCATTTCCCCACCTCCAAAACGAAACCACACCACACAGGGAAAGTAGAAATCCAAGGTTTTAAAGGAGTGAGGAACAGATCTTTTCAATTTTGACTGGGAAAAGCTTCCTTCCTTCTCATGAGCTGCCATGGCTTTTGACCAGCATGGGAAACACCTCGGTACTGGGAATGATGCCACAATGGCAGTGAAGACACAAAGAGTTCAAAGAACGTTATTCCCAGGACTGGCTGCTTCCCTGAGATCCAAGAAAGATCCAAGCAAGATCCAGCACTTCCACAACTGGGATCTGCTGCAGGAGAAGACAGGAGCAGCCTCTGATTTCTCCAAACCAACCGCGCACACCGAGCGAGGGAAGGGCAAGGGGGAAAAAGAAGTTTGAGTGATGCCTTTGCCTTGTGAATAATGAACAGTTCAAGGAGGTCAACCCATTACAACTGAAACCGTTTAATTATTAATTATGCACAATCCATGAGCAAAAGGACAAGTTCAGAATGTTTAATGTGTGGTAACTCCGACCGGACCCTCTCTTGGCATTTTGTTATTAGCACTTGTCAGCAAGGTGCTCAGGCAGAAAGACAAAAGCACAGCGGCAGAAAATGCGAGCTGGAGGAGGAGGGAGGGCTTTAAACCTCAAACACTGATCCTAATATTTAATTTATAGAGTGCCAGGGCTCTGGTATAAACCTTATTGACTTCCCTGGAGTCAGGGGAGGCCACATTATCTAAATGAAGACCTGAGAATGAGCTCACCCAACAATCCCTCCCAAATCCCTCTCTTTTGAAGGCAGCAATAACATCAGGATCTGGATCTTGTTTTTTCCCTCACGGGTCTGAACAAGGGAAGAAAGAACCACCAGAACCCTTGGAACCTCTGCAGTATGAGCTTGAATTACAGATCCTCATTATCCTCACCCACTCACTCCAACTGATTATTTGGGATTTCTCCTGCTCTGTTTGCCCTCCCTAAGCAGAGCAGCAGCAGAGATGCTACTGGGGCTCAGGAAATAAATAAATCCACAAATAAACATGGAAAAGGCACCTTCCTCCTTCTCCTGTCCAGTTTGCAGGTTTACACGGATAACCTCAAGAAGAAAATTCAACAGATACAGTTTGGAGTTGCTTATTTTTTTCTTTAGGAAAACTTATCAGTGGAATTTGGGAGTCATTCCCGACTGGCAACAAACACCAAAATCCTCCAGGCTAAGCCACCTTCGGGGGCCTTACCCAACACACGATTTCTTGGCAGTCAAATGTTTTCTCAGAACATATTCCAACGCCTGAGATGTATCACATCCTCCTGAAGGAGGAACCCCTGAGTGGAAAAGCAGGAAACACAGCTCTCCCTGAGCAGCCAAGGAGCGTTTCCACCAGGGATCTGCTGCAGGAGAAGACAAGAGCAGCAGATCCGATTTCTCCGAGCGAGGGAAGAAGTGGGAGCCATGCCATCGGGGTGCTGATGGAAATCTCGGGATCAAATCCCCATTCCCTGTCCCTTGGGGCCAGGGATGGAACCACGGACGCGTCCCATGAGAGCCTGGTGGCAACAGCGGCTGCAATTCCCAGCGCACGCCCCAGATCCAGACGGGTTTTACTCCTGCTGCTCTGGGAAGGGTTAAATTTTCCCGTTTTCCCCCCTGGGCTCTGTCTGTGCAGAAGGAGCTGCCATGGTCCTGTGGCTTCACGGCCACAGGAGGGAAGTTACCAGAACCCCAGCAAACCAAACCTCAGCTCCTCTCTGCTCCGGGCTCCCCTGGCACTCCCTGCCTGTGGAATGA